TTTTTTTTTTTGTGGAAAGGAGTACATTTGTATGATAGGAAAAACTTTTTTCTTTTGTAAATGGAATAGTTGTTTTTTCAGTTCACTTTAGAATAATTTTTTTAAACATTTTTTATTTATACTTTGCCTACAGTAGTAGTCGCCTACCATATTGAGCTCATTTTTGCATTTACACAGTTGTATCGTCTCGTTGAATCGGCTAACAAACCAGTGAGTTTTATTAGCAATAAAGCTTCTCATCAGTGCTATCATTGTGGATGACATTGATTTTGGAAGTCACCATTTATTTATTCAGCTTTTTTATCTAGGGGTAGGTATGTGTTTGTCAACAATTAAGAAACAAATTTAGCAACAATAAATTGAATTTTCATTAATATACTTGTCATTTTTTATTGAATGTTTTATGGATAGCTATGGGTAGGTAAGTTTTTTTAATTCGGTGAACTGTACAGTATTTGAATGATAATAAGTCACTGATTTATGTGCAGCTATTTCAGAAACTAAATCTTTTGCTGTATCAACCAAATTAAGCGAGAAAGAGTTCCTTCTTTTTTGGTTGTTAACGATACGTGGCTGAGCTAATGGTGATTTTATGTACATTTCGTTATTACTTCAATAATGCATAGAATATAGAAGAAGGATTAATTATTTCGATAAAATTGTTTGTTTTCCCAGGTTTTGCATCTCTTTTTTTTTTGGATGACCAATTCTTTTGACTATAATCAGTAAAGAAATGGAAACTGGAAAATTAAAATTTTAAAGATCAACTTAGGTCATTGGAATCTGAGTAATTATTAAGAAATTATGGACCACTTATCGTTTGCCTGTTTTCAACTGTTTATTTTTGACAAATTGTTGGCTTCAGTGATGTTTTAATACTGAGCCAATTGTTTGATGTGATAACCATCTGGATGTTCATCAAACTGGGTGAGGGATGTAGGTGGGCTGGTTGTTACCACGGAAATTTTTTTCTTTCAGGATAGCGATTTAAATAGTTTAGAAAAGATTTTTATTTATGAAAGTGTATTAAATTGAACCCAAGAGAAAGAAGAAGTTGAAGAAAAAGAATTAGTGAACGGTAAAAGAAGGTTTAATGAAGTTTGTAATGCTCGATAAAGCAAACTGTTTATTGCAATTATTATATTAATACTTAGTTAAGCAGCAACTTTATCACAACTATCTATATTTATTATTTTCTTCCTCGTTGCTGTTACAACATCGGTTTCTGATCGAGGAGGGTAGGCGGGAAGGAAAGGACGAAAAGGGCGATTCTTGGCGGATGGTAAAACAACGAATACTGATCGAAAATAGATGAACAATAAACCATTATTTTTACTATTGTTTATGAAAATTATTATTATTATGATTTTCTTTTTTTTTTTTTTCTGCACAAATAATTATCGAGATATAGAAAAAGCCAAAATGTGTTTTTAAAACCAGGAAAAAATGGAGATTTTTTTTTCTTGCTGTCATTAAAAGGAATTATGAAAGACAACTAAAAATGT